ACAGATGGTCAGTGTTTGAGGGATTGGGATATGATAAAACACACAAAACACCATTCTCCTAATTTGATCTTCCTCTGGCAACTCAGAAAGCAGGCAGGCACGGCAGCACCAGATGCAGAGCCAGGTGAACACGCGTTGTGTGCACCTGTGCAGGTGCAACTGAGAATGGCTTCTGGTGGCGAAGACGCTGACTGAGCCACAGAGCGCTGTGCACCCACTGACAACATCCGAGTGTTTTTCTTAAAGGACTTTGCTGCATTTTTATAAGGAGTTAAGAATTTAGCATAAGCACTTTCAACTCTCACTTTATCTTCTTCCAAGAAACAAATTCCACAGCGTGCAGCACCCGGGGAAGCCGAGCAGGGCAGTGGCAGGCTCTCGTTCCGCTTCCCCTGTGAGGCGTGCTACGGCCCCTCTTCTGCAGCCCGAGTCCATCTCTGTGCCCCGGGCTTCCTGCTCAGCAGCCCCCCGCCTGGTCCTGCTCTCCACCCGATCTCACACTCAGGGAGACAGAGCTCCACACGAAGCCATGCAGGGCGATGGGGCCACACGGTGGAGGGCGCCCACCCTTTACGGCCCAGCACCGAAGGCCGTCGCTACAGCATGTCACCGTGGACCCCCAGAGCAGAAGATCAGCCTGTCTGTGGACGTTCATCAGGTGTTGCTCAGCACAAACCTAGGCTGCCAGCAGATGGGGAAACAGCATAGGAGGTTCGGCGAACCAGCCCAGCTACTTGAGAGCCAGCCTTGTGATCTGTACTTCTACAAGCTCCGCAAGCTCATACCAAGAGGCCCCATGCGGCCGAGACCCCTCAGAGCTGCCACCGCTGCGCTCAGCCCTCGAGGACTCCAGGTCTGTGGACGTACCCTCCTGCCTGTGAACCATGTCTGGCTTCCCTTCTGCATCTGAGGCTTCCCCTGTCTCATCAGGGCCCACAACCCCTTGCTTTGCTGCATCATTTTTAGCGTCCTGTGGTGCCAACAATAAAGTCCTATGTTAAGACAAATGCCCCCCCAGTCACTGTGGGTGTCAGAGGCCAGGGCTGCACGCATTGCAAAGCAGACCCCAGCTTCCCCACTCAGGGCACTGGCCTCCCGCCGGGCCGCCACCAGCACAAAGGCGGGTGCCTTCCACAGGCACGCTCTGCTCCACTCCGAGGCCAACCCTGAGAGGGCGCGACAGCAGCAGCTTCCCATCTCAGCAGGCCGGCCGCCACATACAATGCCCCTCCCAGGCCCACCTCACACGCCACACATCCTGACTTCTATTCACTAAATTCACCCTAAGTCCTGTTACGATGGGTGGACACATGAAAACATTTTCTGCCCAAGCTGTTCTAAAAACTGTCTGTGCTCTAATGAAAACAAAACATGGCTGTTTGACCTTTCGCGAGCTTCATGACCGTAGCCCAGCCCTCCCTGCCCACCTCGAGGCATGGGCTCCTCTGACATGTGATCGTCAAAAGCCTGAGGATCTCCTTTCAATCACGATGGAAAGATGGGCTCTAACGCACATGAGTGTTGCCCTGGAGGAAGGCAGCAAGCAGGGAAATGCAGGAGATGGGACTTCCTGAAGTAAATTTTCTTCCTTCCTGTCATTATCTGTCCTTCCCTTGGCTACATTTTTAATTCTAAAAATTCTCTAATTCTTCAAACTGCATGCTTGTGGCAGACTATGATACTTGTGCTGAGAACTTCTTATTCTACTAGGTTACACTTTGCCAACTTTGTTGGTCAAAAGCAGTCAAATATTTGCAATTTCATGACTTCATCTCAAACTTGGGGTTTTACTATCAATTAAGTTCCAGAGTCTACAAAGACATAGAAGAGAGTAGGCTGACCAGACTACAAATTTGATGTGACAGATGAGGTCAGAATAACAAGAAACGGTCAAAACCTGGCGTAGTCACATCAGTTTTAGCAGAAACCATATGCAGATGAGCCTTGGCAATGGGATCCTCAGCATTACGGCAGGTTCCGGCACCTGCAGGGCTCCTGTCCAGCAAGGCCACCCATGGGTGCTTCTCACAACAGCTCAAGGACCGCATGCTGAGTCCTCCCAGATGCACGCAGCAAGCTCCGATTGCTCCTGAGCCCCCCCAAATGCCTTCTGAGCAGAACTCAACTCTGGCCCGTTTACTGGTGAAGCAAAATTCAGTTGTCCACAGTGATGAGCACCCTGACTGCGCTTTGTTAAAAAATATTAATTTTTATAAATTTAATCATATGCCCTTTCAACACTCCCCTTCCAAAATTAGAAGGACTGATTTCCTGTGAACTCCAAAAGTGTACTTCCTATCAGCACTGTATCACCTTCTCAATGGAGGATTACACCTAGCTCAGTAACACATTTTAAATTACTGAATTCTTTGTCACAACTTTGCTGTCCTACAGCTGTCAGTCAGTAATGCAGGCTGCTGGGACGCAGCCTCATTGGACATGCAGGTAATGTGGCAATCGGTACTTTCCAACAGTGCAGGAGGCAATAAAGTTCACCAGGGGAAAAATGTATGGAAATAAGTTTCTTTCATTTAATCTGATACTGCAAATTATCTCTAGATCAAGAAACACCATTCAAATCCATTCCTGGATGTCAAAAAATCTTTGGGTAAAATTATGGCACAATGGGATTTCCCTGAAGAGTCACACAGATCTGAATTCTAATGTCACTTTGCACCACAAGTAGCCAGGTTCAGTCTTATGAAAACTGCTGCGATCTTCTGCCCTCAATTTCTACACATTTCACCTAATGATCTTAACCAATCATTGCATCCCAGTCCTATGATAATTTAAAGTCACTTAAATGGTTAAAGATCTAAGTAATTTTATTCATGGGAAAGGCAGGCATTTTCCTAAGTTGTACACATTCTTAACAAAAGAAAAGCACACTTCAGATTAAAATAGAGGCAAAATGCCCAATTTCATTGCCAAAGGAGCTGCTTCAAAGCCCTTGGCCAAACCCTGCAAGTGAGAGTGTTTTGTGAGCATTAAATCCATATAACAAGCTCCTCTCCTCAAGGAACTTCCATTAAGCAGAGATTTAATGCCACGCTAGACCACTGAAGGCCTGCTATGATTGAAAAGTTTGTGTTTTTAAGGAGGAAAGATACTGTCTGTGGGGCATACAAAAAGTGACCCATGCAGACCGACAATGCTTTTCAACATTTTATGCCTCTGCCATGACAAATTTATTTTGCTAGTCTCTCAGTAAGCCACAATATTGTGTTGATTCTATTGTTAACTTGTTAAACTCAACTGCCATATATAATCGTTACAGAATCATCTGAGGTATCAAGTTTCTTAAAAAACAGATTGCATGTAGAGAAAATATACATAATCTCATTAAGAAATTATAATCTCTAAAATGCAATGAGCCTGCAAAGATAAAAAGAGTAAATACCAATTTATAGTGAAAATGATTTGATCTTTCCAACATCTTGACTTTAAAAGTGCTACTGAATTATTATTAATCATTTGACTGCTATCATAATAGATGAGGTTAAGGGCCAAGAGCTTTCCCAACATTTAAAAAATATTTGTCTTCAAAGTAAAAAAAGATTTAGTGCTAGCCTAATATATAATCCAATGAGTTCCAGAAAGTAGCCCTGTGACCAGTAAAATCTATAGTTGTAAAAATGTTTTAAAAGGAAAGCCAAGAATTAATTTTCAAAAATGCCACCCAGGGGCCACAATTGGGTTCACCAGGTTTTACATGACAAACTGTCAGAGGAATTCAAGAAAGCTCAGAGAACGAGCATTGCATTTCAGAGAATTGCACGATATCCTGTTACTTCCCACAGGTTAATGAGTAAGAAATGAAATGCAGAATAAGGATTGCTGCAAAATGTGCTTTTATTCATTTACCTGTATACACGCTTACGAATGTGTATGCAGAGACAGTATTAGTTTCTCTACAGGATTAGAGAGAACATTTTTCTACAACTCTGTATACTCAACATACATTTGAGTATAGTAGACACTCGTATAATACACTGTATAAACCTATAATAATTAAACTCTGCTCCAAAAAACTGGCTAAATCTCTAATAAGGAAAAACAATACAGATTTGTATTTTGTTTTGCAGAAATGCGAAGGAGTCATTTTCCTCACTACAGAATATAACAGCGCAGCTGAAGCTCCTCGGTGTCTATCATCTCTGTTCAAGGAAAAGCAACATCCGTGAAACAGTTTCCAGGGAGAAGAGATCAACATTTTCGACCATATGGAGAAAATTACAAGTTCTATAACTGAAACACCACCTTCCACTTAAAAGAACTACCCCCAAAGAATAATGAACTATCAAAATGTTTAAAATGTATAAGACATAAAAAGAAGAAAACAAAGATGGCCAAATGTCTTTAAATAATTTACATAGCTGCTATTTGGAAAGTAATCTGTTGCAGCGAGCCATCTCTACACCCACAGGGCTACCTGAACCCAAGGTGATTAATTATAACTGCACACCAACTTAAAGTCACTCTTTTACTCCCTGTCTTGCGCAAAGGAGAAGAGCAGAGGAGAGCATGCTGCCCCTAGGGGCCTCCTACGTGGGGAGCTGCCAGGCCTGGGCCTGCACTGGAAGCGAGGACCTCATCTCAGAGGCCCGCCACCTGCTCTCTGCTCAGAAACGATGGCTACCCCGTACACACTGTGACCCCGGCAGGCCAGAGGTGTTAATCTGTGCAAACACATAGAGCAACTGGCCACCTGCAGTGGACCTGACAGGCCCTTGGGTCTGTACCCACCAGCCCAGGATCCCCATATTGGGTGCAGAGTCCCCGCCTGCAGGGCCTGGGATAACTGGGAAAGGCCTATCCAAGCAGTTACCCAGGGGCCTGGGCATAGGGCTACTGAAGCCCCAACTACCTGGGCCTGGGCCGTCTGGCTGCGGGGCTTCTGGGCCTAGGCCTCGTGGGCTCAGGGATACCTGGGCAAGGGCTACCCTGGCACAGTGCCACCCGGGTGCAGGGCCACCTGAGCCCTGGGCGCACGCGCTCACCTGGTGCAGGGTCGGCCACGCCCTCCTCTCCGCTCCCGTCAGCGGCCTCCTCGGCCAGGCCGGAGCCCGGGGAGTCGGCGGCGGCGCAGGCCGAGCCCGGGCTGCTGGGCTGCGAGGCCGAGTCGCCCTCACTGAGCGAGCTGCAGCGCGTGCGCGGAGCGCGGTCCCCGGGGCCGTCGCGGTCCCGGCGCGCGCGGCGGTGCACCCGAGAGTGCAGCACCATCTGGTGGTAGGTGCGGAAGATCTTGCCGCACTCGAAGCACTCGGACGACTTGCCGTGACCGGCGGGCGCGGTGGGGCGGCGGCTGGGGCGCGCGGCCGGCCGGGGCTCCAGCGGCCCCGGCCCGGGGTCCCCGGGCGCACCCGCCCGCTTGCGCGGGGGCCCCTGTGCGCCCAGCTCGGGCTCGCGCTTGCGCCGCTCCTGGCTCACCAGGACGTACTCGCGCCGCTCCTTGTCGAAGGCCACGTCCCCGGCCAGCGCCTCGTCCCACGCGCCGTACTTGAGGTACTCGGCTGGCTCGGCCACCTTGCCCCTGGTGGCCAGCTGCCAGGCCTGGTAGCTGTTGACCGGGTCCAGCTCGGCCACCCGCCGCCCTGCCTGGGCACCGACGGGCACACCGGCGTCCGCTGGCCGCAGGTCCAGGCACCGCAGGAAGAGCTGCTGGCGGTCCGCGGGGCCTCCAGGCTCCGAGTCCTCCCCGGGTGCGCCCTCCGCGGCTGGGACCCGGGGCCGGCCGGCCTCCACCCTGCGGTGGATGGCGTTGTGCGCATTCAAGCTGTCCAGGTTTGTAAACAGGTTCCCGCACTTGGTGCAGACTTCGTAGAGGGACAGGCCAGCCACGATCATCTCCTCCTGCACCACGTTGTTGATGGTGGCGATGGGATCCAGCTCGCCCCTGGGCTTGTTCTTGCTCCCCGTCTTCGGGCCGTGCGCCTTCATGTGGTTTTTCAGGAACCACGGCTCCTTGAACCTGCGGCCGCAGATGTGGCAGCCGTGGTCGAAGGAGCCCCGGTGCTTCCTCATGTGCGCCTTCAGGAACCAGGTCTGGCTGAAGGCCTGGCCGCACACCTCGCAGGGGAACTCCCCAGGCGGCAGCTCGGGCTTGCCATTCTCCACAAGCGCCCGGGCGCCGCTGGGCCCCTGCGCGGTGATGTGGTCCTTCTCGACGTGGCTCAGCAGGGACTCCTCCCTCAGGGTCGCGTAGCTGCACAGCCGGCACTGGAAGGGCTTGTGTGCCTGCTGCACGTGCAGCTCCAGGTCTCTCTTGCGCTCAAACTCGCTCTTGCAGAAGGCACACCGAGCCGCGGCCCTGCCCTCCTCCAGGGCACACGTGGCCCCTTCCGCCTCCTTCCTGCTGCTCCTCAGCAGGATCTTGCTGCTGTCCGCCCGGGTGGCCCCGTTCAGGATCCTGTTGCAGGCCGAGGTGCTCTTGGTGGGGCTGGCGCAGCCGTCCAGGCCCTCAGACACACGCATCTCCCCGGCCTCCGGCTCATGGCCCTGGATGAGAGTTCCTGTGCGGTGGCTGCGAATGTGGATCTTCAAGTTGCCCTTCTGGGAGGCCCTGTGGTCACAGTAGGGACATTTGTATGGCTTTTCCCCCGTGTGCTTGCGCATGTGCTGGGACAGGGAGCTCTGGAAGGGAAAGCTCTTGCCACAGATGCAGCAGGTATGGCTCACGGCCTTGTCCCCGTCCACTTCGGGGCTCCTGCTGGCCCTGGAGGGGCTGGAGCCCCTTCTCAGCTCCATCTCAGGCTCTCGATTGCGATCCATCTCCACGACAAGGGCCGACCCCAGGGGACAGGTGGCTTTCTGTCACACAAGCCTGCCCCCACGGGTCTTATCTCTCCATTTTCAGATGAGTCTTTCACTTCCCAGCTGCGGAGCAGCGCCTGCCACACCACATGTGTTCCTACCTGGAAAGCATGGCAGCCCGCAGCCCGCACCTGAAACAGAGAAGACACGAGATCTTAGGCACAGGCTTCCCTTGAAAACTGGGAACCCGTAACACAGTGACTGGCACTCTCTTCCTTAAAAATACCCATCCAGTCCAAGTTAAAGAAAAGGGATGCCAAGAAAATTCAGAGATACACAACAGCTGCTTTTCCTTAAGGGCTCGAACAATTACTGATAACTGTGTGCTGAATCATTAACCTTAAATGAGTTAACTGAAATAATTTTTTTTTATCCAAAAGACATCAAATCTTTAAGGAAAGAGCACAGTAGGCAAGTGGGTTGGGGAGTGAGAAACCCAGGTGAGAGGCCCAGGGGGGCGGGGGGCCTGAGGGACAGAGGGCTGGGAGCAGAGCTGGGCCTGTGTCCTACACAGGCAGTGTACAAACGTGCTGCCGTGTTTGGATGTGAAGGCAGTGAGTCTTCGGTTAAGAATGCAAATGACTTAGTAAGAGAGGCAGTGACCTGCAGAAGTGGCACCCTGCTCTCATTCGGGATCTGTGCTCTGAGCCGGCTGCTGGACTGGCGACCTCTGGGTGTGTGTGGCCAGGAGACTGTTCCCAGAGCCACATTCGGTCTTTGCCACCTGTGAAAAGCCCAAACACTTGGCCCGTCTCACAACGCCTTTCCTGTCCTGATCCCTCCCTTTTTCTCCGGCACCCCTCCCCGCCCTTCCCCCAGAAAGGCACTCTATGCCCTGGCTGCAGGGCTGAGTCCTAGTCCCACTGCAGGGCACCCTCCCCATGGCCTCCGCACTTCTCCAAGGGGCGGACTCCCGGCAGCTTCCCGGGGAGGCTGGGTCTGCCTCTCCCTGGTGACAGCAGGAATCACACTGTGTCCTTGCTGCCACTTGAGTCCCACCCCGACCTCCAGAGAAAGAGGTTTGAGCCACTCCTCCAGGCGCCTAGGCATTTCCAGAACCCTGAGCATAGGCAAACTGAACAAGGGGGTGCCCGGCACTGTGCCCAGCCCTGTGGCCTGCACACAGTGGGACACCATACCGCGGGAAGGCCAGCCAAACACCTGCCCACCACCAGATGGGCCAGGACAATGCACACCAAAAAGCCACTCTCTGCAGTAAAACAGGAATTTCCCTCTGACTTATGAGCAGCATAAACAATGAACCAGTTGGGAAAGATGTGAGAGACGGCACCTTCCAGGGCAGTCCGGGGGAGGGTGGGCACACACAGCTCCCAGGGCACAGCCTCCTTATCCTCCTTACCTCTCAACAGAAGCAACTGAGCTAATGATTCTGAGGGTTTCCCTCCTGAGGGCTCCAGACTTGCAGAGAGACACCCAAACGGGCAGGTGTTCTTTAAAAAAAGCTTTAACATGAAGAAAGAGAGCTGTGTTTTTACAGACTTGAAACCTCATATACACTAAGAACTCACATTCAAGAATTTATAGAAAGTGAACAAGCAATGTGTTTCTGTTTTTTCACAAGACAGTGTGTCAATGCACATTATTTGTTCAGAGATGAAGGGTTTTCTCCCAAAAGAACAGGGGTAGCAACTCCGTGTTTGCTCCAGGTCTCCAGCCTGCTAGGTTTTTACCAAAGCAGACACAGAAAAGAATACTGACAACAGAATGGAGAGGCCTGTCACCCAGATGTCCCCAAAAAGTTGGAATGCTGAACACATTACACCTCTTTCACCCCACTGCCCCCAAGACATAGGAGCCTTTCACCACAGCCACCTTCTGAAAAGATGCCTCCTCCCACAGACCTGCACAATGAAAGGAGGAAATCGTACTGAGAATTATGTGTTCTTAAACATCTTTCAGGAAAGCCCCATGCTACCAAGTTTCCCAGGTATCTAAAGTGACCAGCACAGGCTAAGCAGCCAACTCCGGGAAGAGGCAGGAGGCAGAGCCTCGTACAGGCGTTCTCACCTCGTCCTGCTAACAGGACACAAAGCTCCTCCTGCATAATAGGTGGAAACTCCTTAAAGGGGATAAACAGATGAGAAGACCTCTTAATGACAATTTCAGCTATTTCAAAATTACTTTTGCAAGCTGTTTTGGTCTTGGTACAACTTTTGGATGGTCCTATGTTATTTATGATGATCTTATAAGGCGAAATAATTTGCAAGTATCCCCTTCTGTCCCAGGGCCTATTTCATCCCTAAAATGTTGAATGTGATGTAATATACGGAAGTATGAATGAAACATACTATTTATATGTCACTTAAGTGACCAAATCTGGGTATCAATTTTAGGAGCTTAAGAACCATGCAGAAGAAAGCTTACAGAGAAAACACAACTAAAACACAGGAATTATTGCTCTGAAATAATTTTACGACTCCAGTGGACCTGTAGGCTGGCTCATCAAGGATGCTAAATGTTCAACAGGATCAAACAACCAAAAACCAGCCATGAAGATGAAATTCATGGAGCAAAGTACTCAGCTAGTTACGGGTCACAAGGAGCAACCCACAGATGCACCTGGAATATAAGTGGATTTTTCAAGTGAGGAGACTTGCTCTAATCATCAAAAATGCATGTTCTGTGGTCCCAACCCCAGGATAAGCCAGTTTTGCTCCTTCTTTTTTATAACTCAGCCTCTGCAGAACTCCCAGGGGCCAGAGAAAGTTAAATACTTTCAAAGCCCAGGGGCAGGTCCAGGGGTCTGCATACAGGGGACCCTACCGCCATGCCATGCAGGAGTCTCGGCCAGCACGGAGCAGTGCAAGGTGGACCCTGGGAGCCCCATACCCACTCCCATCCACCAGCCATGTGGCTTTCAGGGGGCCCCTTCACACCCTGGGTTCATCTCCTCATCTGTCAGGTGCTGAGAGTCGGGGAGGGACACAAGAAGCCGTGTGTCACCACAGCCCCTTGCAAGCTTTCCCCACTGGCCCCTCCCCAAGGCACCGCTTGGATCCTCTGCAAACAGCACAGAGCGAACAGCCCATGAAGAACACACACCTGCCCAACAGCCCGCGTCCCAGAGCAAGGCACAAAGGAGAGGCCAGGCGGGCACGGCCCTTCCACGGCAGACCAGCGGCCAGAGCCACCTTGCTGGCCGCAGGCATGCAAACAGCACAGAGCGAACAGCCCATGAAGAACACACACCTGCCCAACAGCCCGCGTCCCAGAGCAAGGCGCAAAGGAGAGGCCAGGCGGGCACGGCCCTTCCACGGCAGACCAGCGGCCAGAGCCACCTTGCTGGCCGCAGGCCACCTCCAGTGCGCAGCGCACTGCCCTTCAGAGGATGTGACCTCGCTGTTCCCGCCTTTCCACAGGGCCTCGGAAGCCTCTGCACAGTTCAAAAGGCTCTTGACTGCCATGCTCGCTTTCTGAGAAGTCCCCGTGTCCTCTTTACAGCCTCCATGTGGACATTTCTGATTCCATGACCCCAGACCTCCAGCCAAAGAATGGACACATACCCTCAAGAAGCCCAAAGCCTAGAGAATACAGTTTTCATTCTTCCTCGGGCCTCCTCCAAAACCAGCTTAGCAGCTTCACCAAAGGCCACAGGTGCCCTGCAACTTACAGGGAATTCCCAGGTAAGGGCATTGCCAGTGCCCTGCAGCCAGCGAGGCAAGCCCCTCTCTTCTGTTGTGTGGGATTTCCCTGCCCGCCACCATCTTTGGAAAGCCAGCCCTGTGAGAACTGCACGGGATGCTTTTTTAGAGAACATAAAAATGTTTTGAAGGGGAAAATATAAGAATGGAGAAAATGCTGTAACATCATAACTATTTAAGCCCAAACACAATTATCTTAAGGAAATCATCACATCCACAATGCTGGCTCCACTTGGAAGAGGCCCATTAAGTGGCCCCTTCCTGATGCCGGTGGTCCACTGATGCAGTTTCTTGCAAACCTTTAAAGAAACAGTCAAAACATACTTCCCTGTAACTAGCTCTCCTTAGTCAATGGCCAAAACAGAACTGTGTGATATTCTCAGCTGCAGGCAACGACTGCCATGTAAGGCAGTTATCATTTCCTTTCTAAAAAGTAACAAGAATGCTGTCATCAGAACTTCCAACTTAAAAATGCACTGCGGGGCAACCATCCCCATTCAAAGGTATACACGGACCCTCCTAGCACTACTGGCTTCCATCTCTCCCTGTCCTTTTAAAAAATCCCACCAGCCTCTGCGAGCTGGGAGGGACTCAGGTGGTTTCTCCACATTTATTTTGCTCCCTAATGAGGAGCGGTTCACATCCAAACACCACTATGTGATGAAGCATTACACCACTTGGTTCTCGCCAAACATATTTCAGTACTAGCTGCCTCTATTTTATTCTCACAAACAAACAACACGCCAAGTGAGGTTCGGCACTCCAAGTTCCTCTAAAACACATTAACCTAAAGATAACTAGCCTTATAAAACGTGTAGCTGGCTTTTTACCCAGAGCAGTGTGAGTAAAGAAAGTCTTCCTACAACATAGCGTCAGGAGCGAGGGGAGCGAAGGGGAGAGCAAATGCACATACCTATGTTTTAACTGATAATATGACATGCCAACCCACATACATGTCAATCCATACACATGATAATGTGTTAGCTTACATGCATTCATATGGCAGAGCTCTGCCAGAATACATATTTGCCCATAATGAATCATAGTTTTGCTGTTATTGTATTATAAACTTCTTCCAAGGCTGTAACTGGGAACTTGCCAGACAGGACTGTAATTTAATTGTTCAGGCATAAAAATGGCTTGCTGATTAGTTTTAAAATAGATTTCCACTGGATCTGCATGTGTGTGTGTATGTGTGTGTGTACGTGTGTTTCTCTAAGGATGTAATAAACAGTTTGAAGCTACTTTTTAAAAATGCCTTATATAATTTTCAAAATAAATTTCATTTTTAAAAAGTTAGGTAATCTAATCACATTTATAAAAAAACTAGGAAAAAGATGTATATTAAAAAAATGTATTTATAACCAAAATGCATTATAATGGAGATGGAGAGGTGTTTCAGAGGGCAAATTGTGTAAGTTTGACAATAAAATATATAGTAAACCAAAAAGTAAGCATGTGAGCACATA